CGAGCAGCAGCTGGTGGGCAAGGGATGTCCCCACGGTCACACCGTTGCAAGCCACCGTGAGCACGTCGCCCAGCCCCGCTGCCGAGGGCGAGCACGCGTAGCCCACGCCATGGCCTGAGCCCGAGGCGGGAGGGAGGTTGGGTTTGGGAACCATCCCTGTCCGTCTTGCCGGCCATGCCGCTGCCCTGCAGCCGCGGGGTTGCGCTGAGGGTGGCGAAGCATTTCTGGGGGCTGGGAGCAGCGTGGCACGAAGAACTTCCCTCGTGCCAGGAAAGGGCTGACTGTTCCCTCAGACCCAAAGCCTGCTTCTGAGGAGGGAAAACTGGGAAAAATCCCCAAGGTGGCTCATGGGGACAAGGGGGAGCCAGCTCCTGGTCTGCCCTGCCAGGTCCTCTGCTTCTCCTCACCTTTGGTCCCCCCAGCACCTCTGGTCCTCCCCAGCCCCTCCAGTCCCCCCCAGCATCTTTGGTCCCCCCCAGCACCTCAGGTCTGCCCCAGCCCCTCCGGTGTCCCCCCCTACACCCCCAGTCCCCCCAGCCAAGGGACTTACTCGGCGCAGTGATGGTGGAGCAGGCGTCGGCGTACTGGGGGCAGCTGTGGGAGCCCTGCTTGTTGCAGTCGTTCTCGTTGGACGCAACGCATTTGTGGCATCTCAGCGCTTTATCTGTGTGGGGGTGGGGAGAGGGAGGGTGAGAGCGGCAGCGACCCACCGCCCCGGAGCCATTTGCAGTGTGGGGGGGTCCCCACGGCCACTGGGGGCCACCAGCAGAGGGCAGGGAGTCACGGGTGAGGGTTAGGACGGCTCAGAGCCCAGCAGCTCTGCTGGCCAGGGACCAGCATGGCCACGGCACGCAGCGGGCTTTGGGGTGGGGGTCTCTCCTGACCGCACAATGCACACGAAGCTCTTCCAAGCGGGACTCAGAACGATGAGAGCTAAGCTGGGCAGGCTGGCTCGTCCCAGTCCTTGCTCTGCAAAAACTCCCTGCAACTGAGATTCCCATCATCTCCTTTACAGTGAAAATAGGTAGACATAATATTAAAGAAAAAACCCAAACCCTAAATCTTAGTCTTGTGCCAAATTTCATTTTTATGATAATTTTTTGGGGGGGAGGGAGGGTTCATCTGAACTTTGGCAGCAGGGTTTGGGCATTTGTGCATCTTGAACCTACAGCAGCCCCCCCGTGCGACACCTTGCACACGTGCCGGGCAGGCGTCTGCGTCAGGAGGGACGGGTGGGCTCCAAACTGTCCTCGAAGGAGGCCACGTCCGTGCCAGATCACAGCAGCCCCTCGCCTCCCCGGCGTTCCCTGCGCCAGAGCTGGCAATAGGCGTGAGAGCTCTCTGCCCCTTCCGGAGAGGAAAACGCACAACGGCCAGAGGTCCCAGCTCAGTTTAGGAACCAGCTGAGCAAACGTGAAAGCGTTACCATCATTTCATGACAGTAAGAGACTTGAAATAACAGCGCTGGTTTAAATATCTGCAGGCAAATCACCCACTGCCAAAAAAAACCAAACCCAGACCTGAGGATCCCACTCCTGCCTGAAATTAAGAATACTTGGGTTTGGTGGTGATGGTTAAATTACTGCTGGTGTTGGGAGCAAAATCTGTGTCTGCTTTGCTGGCTGAGCAGAGCCCTCTCGTGGCAAGCGGGGCCCGGCTCCGGGGCAGCAGCGTGGATCTTGCCGGAGGCCAGAGCTCCCACCTTCGTCTGGTGGGAAAGGAGAGAACCTGCATCCCAGGGAAACTGGGATTTCACGGGGCCAAATGCCAGCAGGCGCCCGCCGTGAGCCCACGCTGACCCCAGCACCCACAGCGTGATTGCGTCTCCTGCTTCTCCGTCGTGGCTCCTCGCAGCACCCTGCAACCCTTCAGTTACCCTTCGTTAAAAACATAGCTGTGGTTCATCTTCTGGTGCAAAGACCCTGAAACCATCCTGACCTGAGCGCGCTTCCCGGCCTTGCTCCGAGCAGCACCACCGCCTTCCCACCCTTTCGGGATTCTGCCTTCGAGGAGCCAGGTTTTAGCTGGGAACACCACTCCAGCGCTGAGGGGCTGCTGTTCCTTGGCTCCGGTACCTCCTTGGCTCCGTCAGGGGATGCTGCGTGGTCCCTGCTGGGCTTTGGGCAAGCGGCAGAGGGGCGGGCGAGGGGCAGGGTGCTCCCCTGGGTCCTCCCAGGAGGAAAAAGCCACCACCGGCACCCCCCCAAATGCCATTTTTCTGCAGGGGTGGGAGCAGCATCGCGCAGGGGCACAACGGGCACACGCAAGCCTGCGGGGCGGTGGCAGGGACAGGGCAGCCAGCAAGCAGAGGGGGAGG